ATAGGAAGAGTTGCAAAGTCCAGGAAATTTAAAATCTATTTGCATCTCAACAGGAACCCCTCTCTTGCAATCCAATATGCCTCCATTCCAGTGAGGGCACAGGCCTCTTTGTGACAGAGAACAAGGGATTCCTGTTGAGATGCAAATGGATTTTAAATTTCCTGGACTTTTGAGAATCTCCCAATAGCCACATGGCCAGGAGGAGGAGGATCCTGCCTGCAAAAGATATCATCCTCACCATATACCATTTCAACTAAAGATTGAAACAACATGTAGGCATCTGACTAACATTTCCAATTGCTTTTCTCCTGTTTGGTTTGTAACACCTTGCCTGATGAAGAAGTCCATGGAGCTTTGAAAGCTTGCAACAAGTCTACTGTGCATTTGGGTTGGCCAAGAAAGGTATCGCCGATGGATTGTTGTTTGAATTTACTAAATGGCCAACACAGCTACTCCTGAATGTTTTATAAATAAAAATCCCTCGGTGATACCTTTATTGGCCAACCAAAATGCACAATAGACTTGTTGCAAGCTTTCGAAGCCCCACTAGTATGAGCTCCACTAATATAAATATAAATTCATGCTTCTTAGTCACAGCAGCATCACTGGGAGGGGTGCAGACCGCCCCAAGTGACACCCTAAAAGGGGGGTGCGTGACACCCCTGTTCCTCAAACACTTCCCTTTGGGAGCATTTGCCTGCTTCCCTTTAAAATGCTTTAAGAAAATGGTGGGAGTGGGGTGAGGCTCAGTGGGAGGAGAAAGGAGAGTCCCTCCCAGAAGTTTTTGAAAATTAAAATTCCAAATTTCCAAATTTTTAAATTTTCTTTACAGTTTGATTTTTTTTTAAAAAAAACTATTCTTTTTAAATTTTCGTTTAAAAACATCACATTTTAACCAAATCTTCATGATGTATATGTAAAATACATTTAGGCTGTGCGTATGCTGCTGCAATTTGAAGGTGTAATTTTATTCTTGCTAATTGGTTCATGTCACAACTATTAGCATGCCATCGTGTATGGGAATGATCACTGACGAGTAACATTAGTGCAAAAATGCATGACTGAGGGCTCTGTGTGGTGTGAAATGGGAGGAGGAGGAGGAGGAGGAGGTCAATGGGGGGGGTGACACCATGAGTTAGCGCACCAGGTGACACCACTTCTAGTGATGCCACTACTTAGTCATGCTCAAAATGGAGGGCTTTTTGACATATCTCCTGAACAGAAGGCAGGGATGGAGGGTGTGTGCTGGAAAAAGAGGACACTTGGTCACCCTGTGCCTGAAGCGAAGCAGCATAAGACCCCACCCTCAACCCATTCAAGGCAAAGTTGGTAATACTCCAGCCATGCCATTTGGGTGGAGGAGTCACAGGAAAATAAAGGAGGAAAATGTCCCACAAATGCATCTTCCCAGCCCTGAAGTGTGTGCCTTTAAGTTGTTTCCAACTTCTTCAGAGGAGAGATTTGCCTTTGAGGCTGAGAGAGTGTGACTTGCCCAAGATCACTCAGTGGGTTTGTGAGCAGGGATTCAAACTCTGGTTTCTAGTCCCCTAGTCCAACACTCAAACCACTACACCATGCTGGCTCTGAGTGAAAATAAATACTACAAGAAGTAATTGAAGGACTAATCTTTTGTTTTCCTGACACCCCCAATCTTCTAATGCCTAAAATAGGTGCCTCCCTGCCCAGTGGTAGGATCGGCTCTGGAAAGGGGTTCATAATGGAAAAGGACATTTTAGAGTCTGCTGTGCTCTAAGAACAGGGTGACCAGCGGCCCTCCTTTTCCAGGACATGCCCTCCATTTCAGCCTCCTGTCCAGGAGGAATTCCTCCATTTGGAGCAGGACTAAGAAGCATGAATGTATACTTCTATGAGTGTTTTAAGCTTTTTTGGGGCCATGTCCTCCATTTTTCTTGAATGTCCTCCATTTTGCAGTGCCTTGTCCTCCTTTGCAGTGAGGACATCCAATCACTGCTTCTAGCCCACCTCCTCTGGGAGCTCTTCACAGTTCAAAGGCATCCTAGGGAGGTGGTAAGGAGTTGGACAGCATCTCAAAGTTTATTCGTTTTAGGTGGCTTAACCTCAGTGGTCTCCATGTGTGGCACTTGCAGCTTTGCCATTTATCCAAAACTATGATAAAACCCTAAATACACTATACATTAGGGCAGGGGTAGGCAACCTTTCCCCTTTAAGGGCCGAGGGACTTCAGCTCCCAGAATCCCAGGAGCTACTGGCCAACATGGGACTATTGGCCAACATGGCTGAGGCTTCTGGGAGCTGAAGTCTCTCAGCCCTTAAAGGGGAAAGGTTTCCGACCCCTGTATTAGGGAATAAATTCCACTCAACGCAGTGGGTGTTACTTCGGAGTAAACATGGATGGGACTGCACTTCAAGAGAGGACACACAGAGAAGGAAGTATGGTGTTCAACTTCTCTTTGCTGGATGACTGACTCATACTTGGATGTGTGTCACTATGACGGTTGAGCAAGTAAAGTTTCCATCGGGCGGAAAAAGGCATCTGTTGTGATTTCACTGCCGGCTCTCTGTGATGTTTGGACTCTAATGGCTGATTCCCAGACAGAAGTAAACATTTGAGGTGGCACCTGCCAAAGCTTCAACTTGTCCCCGGTGCTTTCCTACTGGGCTGAGTTTTTCATTCAACCTGCGCTGTACTTTATATCACTGAGACTGCACACTATGGAAGGTTGAACTGGCTTCTTTTCAGCTCAGGGGTGAAGAAATTCCAGACTGCCACATGTTTGGGTCTTGAGCTTCTGTCCTATTTACCCTGCATGGTCAGTGAAGCTGAAGACCAACACAGCTGAAAGATTTTCTAGACATGCCTTAGGACGATTCTCCAGCCACAGATGCTAACTCATGTTACTTCAGTCAAGTTTGCAAAATGGATCCTTCCCCTAAACTACTTCTAATTCATTTAGGACTTAACCAGCGCTGTTTAGAAATTACTTTATTTACACTTCAAGTGAGGTCCACTGACTGGAAAAGGCCTCTTGTCCCTTAATCCCAGGTACAGACATGTAAAGCAGATTTCTTGCAAGCTGTGAAAATGTAGCCCATAATGCTCAGAGATACTCCCTTCATGATTATCTCAGACATTCTGGGGTCAGATCATGTTTACTGAAAACAGGTTCTGAGACTAAGCCTTTGAAAACCCAATTCATATAAACTGGAGAACATGAGTTTTAGCAAGCTGGAGGCTGTAGTTATCAGGACCCCTCTGCATAGCTTCTCTCAGGAAGTCCATACTACGGTCTTTTAAAAATAATTATATATTTTCCGTAGGTTTGGTACACATCCCAAAAGTATACTGTGTTTTTGCATCAATTGCATTTACATACATTTCATCTACTAACCACATTGTTGTTGTTGTTGTTGTTGTTGTGCCTTCAAGTTGTTTCCAGCTTATGGCAGCCCTAAAGGGAACATATCAGAGGGTTTTCTTTCTAGATTTGTTCAGAGGAGAACGTAGAGAGATCTTGTAGCACCTTTGAAACTAACTGAAAGAAACAAATTGTTCAGTGGAGGTTTGTCATTGCCTTCATCTGAGGCAGAGAGAATGTGACTTACCCACGGTTACTCAGTGGGTTTCATGGCCAAAGTAGAAATCGAACCCTGGTCTCCAGAATCATAGTCCAGCACTCAAACCACTACACCACGGTGGCTCTTGGATAAGACTACAGTGGTTGGTCCAGATTTCTTTCATTGTCCCTATGATAAGTGTCTCAGACATATATGTTGATGGATGCAGCTTCTTCCTGGATTCACGTGGCTTTGTGAGACGATACTTTGGATGAGTCCTTTCACTACAAGGATACATATCTCTATGCAAGAATTTTTGAAAATCTCAGCAATGTGGTCTGGGCCAAACCACTGTCACTCACTTACATCAAATGGCTGTGTAGATCCACCACCAATTCTCCATCAGTGGAACATATTTTAAAAGGGCCCAACTATCACAGGTCACACCATTTTACATTTTGTCAGCAGCATTTAAAGCCAACTCCTTAAAATCTTTCAGGCGCTCAGAGCTATTATTCCCAGGCAGGAGATGCATTTACACACCTGTAGTGATATGAATCTCCATAGCTCATTTTGTGCCAAGGAAAAAAATCCCAAAACAAAAGCCTTTTTCATTCAGTGCCAAGGGCCTGCATTCCACTTCCCTGGAATTGTATGCCAGCACACAATGGCACCAGCCACCTATGGTACCCATGAGTAATCCTGGGGCACCATTTGAGGCAGGGGCTACCTAGAGATCATTCAGTGCTCCTGAAATGCAGCTGCCTCCAGGGTCCAGGTCCTCATTGTAGCTAATCTCCAAATGCAGGAAAAAGGCATAAAGAGGGGGAAAAAATAATCTTCTTAAGTCCAGCCATTACGTAAAATGTTTGTGGCAAGTTTGTATAGACAATCTGTTGGGCTAAATTCTGCCTTTGGTGACTGGAGGCTAGTGACCTATAAGTGCTTATTATGTTCTGGACAAAGCTGATCTTTAGTACTCTGAATGGGCTGAAAGCCTTTCATTGTCTGGAGGAAATTCAGCCAGCCTGGATTTACCTCTAAACAGACATGGTCAGGTTGTCTGTAGGGTTTTGCAGTTTTCCAGATGGAGTAGACTGTTCCTTCTGTGTGTGGGCTGGAGAGCTGGCCTTTGTGATGTTGCCAGTTTTCCCCTTGCCAGAGTCTACATAGTGCCATAGATGTTTGCATGCAGGCCTGTATGCCAGCACTTGGTAGAAATTGGGGAATGAAAGTAAGTCCTCCTAACACCAATGCTTCAGACTTTGAGAACCATGGCAGCTTGTTACAGCATCCTTGTTGCTCTTGACTCCCTGCTTCTCGCTTTGGGATGACCTGCCCCCTTGCACTGACACCCATCCCAAGGAAGAAGGCTAGCTTGAGGCACTTTGTCCTTTTATTAGTTGACTAATTTCAGGAATTCAAACAGTCTTGGGATAAATCCATCACGGTGGATTTGGGATGTGCAGTTGTATGTTTTATCTGAAGGAGGTCCCAAAGACAGAGAAAATCTGTATATGTTTACTCAGATGGAAGGCTTATTAGGTTCAAGGGATTTTGTTGTTGTTGTGTGCCTTTGAGTAGTTTTTGACTTATGGTGATACTAAGACAAACCTATCATGGGATTTTCTTGGCAAGATTTGTCCAGAGGGAGTTTGCCTTGCCTTCCTCTCAAGATAAGAGAGTATTACTTGCCCAAGTTCACCCAGTGGGTTTCCATGGCTGAGCACAGTTTCAAACCCTGGTCTCCAGAGTCATAGTGCAACACTGAAACCACTACACCACACTGGTTCCCTTGTAAATGTATAAAGGGTGGCAACCTGAGTTCATTGAGACTTATTTTCAAGAAAGGGGACATGGGATTGGAGGCAGAACCTCAATCCTATGTCCGTTTATTCAGGAGTAAATCCTACTTTTTTACTTATTCTTGATCAAGGGGTTACAGGATTGAAGCTTTCACTTTATTTCAAAGTAAGGATAACATTTGTTTCGCAAAAAAACAACAACAATCAGTTCACCTTGGACTACTCCCAGATAAAAGCTGAGTGTGTTACAGTTGCCCATTCCTTTAAATCAGTGTTGTTGTTGTTGTTGTTGTTGCATGCCTTCAACAAATTTCTGACATGGTGACCTTAAGCGTTTTGTTGCAATGTTTGTTTGGAGGAGATTTACCCTTGCCTTCCTCTGAGGCTGAAAGAGTGTGACTTATCCAAGGTCACCCAGTGGGTTTCCATAACCAAATGGGGATTTGAACCCTGGTCTGCAGAGCTGTAGTTCAGTGCTTAAGACACTACACCATGCTAGCTCAAGTCAGTAGTGATAGGGAGCCTTATTTGGGGAGGGAGAGATTCCCATTCAACCACTCCGCAACCCTCCATGGACTGAATTACAAGGGGGATGATAGCAAAGCCCATTGATATCATCAGTTCCTGGATGAAATGCCATGTGTGAATTGGAATCCAACTTCTCTCCCCACTCCCAAAGAAATGGCAGAAAGGGTCAAGCATTCTCAGGCAGCCCCTGCAAATGCCTAATGTGAGAGTGGCCAACTTCATGCACATTACTCCCTCCCATTGCCATGCCAGTTGGATACCAAGTCCTGCTTTCATCCATCTCTCCAAGACCTCATACCATGGAAAACAAAGGCATCTTTATTTTGAACTTCTATAGCACCTAGTGCAACATGAGTGTAGACGGGAGCTTCCGAAACATCACCACAAACATAATAACTCACATACTGGCACGGAATGAGTAGCAGTCAAAGAACACGTCATGCTCCAGATGAAAATGGATGGATAACATGGGGGAGGCCCAAGCTGACCCTTGCCAGATGTACGTTTCTGAATGTACTTTTTAATAGGAATAACAGGCATCTGCCAAAATCTACCTCTCTGTCTGTCACCAGTAATTATTTCCTTCAAGAGGTGAAGGAAACATGAAGTGACCTGCTCGAGGGGTGTGTAGGTGGATGTTGTGCTCAACATAGTTTTTCATTGCTGATTGTAATTAATGTGGCACACCTTCCAGGAAATAGAGTGCCAAGGAATACTAGGCACTATAGGCTACATTTCAGAGGAGTACTCCTTGCCTTTAAAAATCCCTATGAAATTCATGGTGTCACCATAAGTCAACAGGCAACTTGAAAGAACCCACGTGTGTGTGCATGCACACACATGTGCGCGCACACACCATCAAAGAAATACAGAAAGAACAAAATACAAACAAGAAAGATGGTGAGAAAAGCAAAGGAAGGTTACAGAGATGTGGTTAACCACAGAGACGTGGCTAAAACACAGATGCAAGGTATTGCTTCCCTGAGTGATAAAATGTTTCATACTGTGGGCTTTTTGCAGAAATCCCCATTCAGTCATGGAAACCCACTGGGTGACCTTGGACAAGTCACACTCTTTCAGCCTCAGAGGAATCTGGCTGGACCACTATGGGAACAGAACGATGGACTATATGAGCCTTGCTGCTTCCTGTTTGTATTCTATTTTTATATTTTATTGTACTATTG